CAAAGAGTGCAATCGTACTCATTCTGATTACCTCCTTTCCAAAAACCTCTATTTCTATTTGCAAATATTTGCAAAAATAACTGCATTCGTGTTGATAAATTAATCAACACGACTGCAGTTTTATGCTACCATCCATCATTCACCTCCAGCAAGGTACAGTACTTGCCATCTTCAATTCCGCAGCCAAAAACAGTGAAAAAGATTCAACTTTAATGACAAAGTATAGCACAGAGTATGTATATCCCTTATATGCAATTAATGTTATGAAAATCGTTTGTGATACAAACAAAATTCGAAATAAAATATCAAAATCAAATGATTCCAATGTAAAAATTGTTTAGTAAGTCTTCTTTTGAAATGTAATATGTGACACATAGATTTTATGTGTCACCCATGACCTATTTGTCGCATACACCTATGTTCTTATGTGTCACAGAAGATCAATGTGTCACATAGACTTTAGCACATTATTAAGACGAATATGTTAAGGTTGGAAAGTTCAGATAAAAATGACAGCTACGCAAGAACTTACATGCTAAAATCCAGACAGACCAATAGTTTTGGAAAAACTTATTATCGATTGTCAATTACATTTTTACTAACATAAAAAGATTATTACCAAAACAATTATTTATCAAAAGACAATTATTTAAATAAATTTTATTACTAAAAGAAAATTTTCTTGTATGATATTATAGAATGTCATTGCATATTTTATTTTGTTTTGGATATGAGTTTTTACCTTCACAAAAAGATAGTTTTCTATCTCAGAAAATATTTCGTTTCCAACTGTTTTCTTCTTTATTTTAATATAAGAATTAACAACAGTGGAAAAAATAAAGAAAGTAATATTTTTAATGTTTTAGGCACTTTTCATTTCCTTCAGATTAATGCATGTCTATATTTGAGATATAGAAAATTCATATAGGACTAACATTTCTTTCTGAAATTCAATATGGCTGGATCACTGAAGCACTCAAGTTCATTGGAAACGACAGCTTAAAAGGTTTATTCGGTTACCTTTACAATCCTCTCATATCAGTAAAGACGTGACTTGATAGAAAGGCTAGAGGGAAATTACTGATAGATGATAGACAGAAGGAAATTATACGAACAATACATTTTTTTATAAATTTTACATGCAAAAAAGAACAAACCATATATTTGAATAAAGAGAAAAATTAAAATAATAAGAGAATAATGTGTTTATTCTCTCGAAAATAATTCGAATTATTAATGACAGACGATATTATTATATTTAAGGAAACAATTTTAAATTAGTTTTATTGAAAAATTACCGATTATGATAGATTATTTGTACAAAAAATATATATTTGAAGATAAAAATATGGAATATAAAAATAAAACTCATAATAATAACTTTATTATTATTATTCGTTCATCGTTTATTTATTATTTAACGATCAAGAATTTTAAGAAACTTTCATGTAAAATAATTCAGAATATTCAATGGAAAAAAAAACTCATAGTAGATTAATAATTTAACAAATATAGGTGTGATATACATTTTTCTATAACATGGACACAATAAAGATTTATTGTGAAACTGAGAGAAAAGTTTTCTTTCTCGTTTTTTCCTTCGCTATGTCAACGTAAGCTGAAAAACACAAAAAATTTTCACTTACTCTGTAATATGTTTACAAATCCTGGTTTGGTTTAAAACACTTTAAAGTAAATTCCTCTTTTTTTTTAAACTAATATTTTTTCATAAATCCTTCTTATTTTAATACAGTACTAGGCTAAAATTGGAAATTAAGCCAAACCAAACCAAAGCAACTCAAACCCAAACGATTGGAGATTAAGTTTCTCTGCGGGAAACAGGAATTCTGCCATCATTCAACCTATTTCGTTTAAAAATAAGTTAATGAGAGAAATCCTGTGTTAATTTTTTGATGATATCAATCTAAGATTTTCAATCGAGCTGAAAAGACTATTTTTACAGGTATTGTTACAGCTATGATAACCATTTTTCATGTATATATCTTGCTAAAAAAGTTTTAATTTTTTTTAATGTTCTATTATCTAACCAATTTCGTTTGGTTGATTGGTACTGATCAATAGCTCATCGATCAGTCTTAACCAGGCGACACTCATTTTTCTCATCAATTGTCCATAGTATTTTACAGTTTGCACGGCAGGACAATGCATTACGTGTATTTTTCAATTTATTGTAAATTAACGCAACTGCACTGCAAAGACCTTTCACGAAAGCGGAGGTTTTAAAGATAGTTCCGCCCCATGCTCGATAACCAACGATCATGTCCTATCAAAAGCCTGTTAAAGCACGTTATTTAACCATTACGGGATCTTTTACTCTACGAACATGTACTTTGCTGTCATATTTATATACTTCCCAAAACTATGCTTGTCTATCTTACCTGGGATTTGTCACACCTGTGAATACGTTAACTTACGGGGTGGTCATAATGTTATATTTCGATTGTATATATAACTTTGACATTTATTCACACGATTTTGTTTTTGCTTTACTAAAATTAATTTTAAAAAAAAGAATTGTGTTTTCAAAAAAAGATTTAGTTTTTGAATTATTATCCATAATATGTTTCCGAATCACGGAAATCTCTTAGTAAACCACTGTAAACCTTTTTTTTTTTGTAGGAATTTAAGAAGATGAAAAAGGCAGTATCAAAAGTTCACAACATGTTTTTGAATCCCGAAATTATTAGAAAAACTATAAATGCTTAAAAAAAACTGCTTTTTCCAAGAATGCAAGAAGACAAAGAAGGCAGTGTTAGTAACTTACTTTATTCTAACGAGGCTGTATAATAAGACCACAATAAGTAAAATTTCTTTTTTGTAACATGATAGCAAAATTTGCACAAATAGTACATCAGGCAGTCCGAGCTGCTCTATATGTTTTCGCGCTGCCCATGCTGATATTAATGTTGCAAACACAAGCCTCTTCCTAACTCAAGGCTGTATGATCTTGCAAACTCGACAGCATGTTTGTCCTCTCAGGCATTAATGGTGCGAGGTTGATCAGATCCTGCATGGTGTTCAGTATACCCCTCCTGAACCCATTGATACCATATTCGCACGACATGCTATCAGAATTCAACAACTGTCACAACAGTCGTTGAATTCTGATCAATGAAAGTAGCAATATCGCAGAACTATAAACTGCACTCAATGAGTCTCGATACTGCCTCTATGGAATTCAGACACGTGTTAGTAGAGGTTTCTCACACAAATGCTATTTTCTCAATGCTATGAGGCATTCAAATGCTATTTTCGATGAAAAACCAGCTACTGAACTTTTTTTTTCAGAACTTCAGATGCCATTTCTTCTTAAATGCAAATCGTCTGCATATCCCAGCATCTTCTTCCTTCCTTGGGAATTTGTCATTTATTGTATCCCTCCTTCATTGTGTTGCATTTTGAATGCCAATGACTATATATATGTGGGAGTATAACCAAAATCTCAACCCCCCAAAGAAAGTTAGACTCTTCAGATAGCGGGGTATTATTGGTGAGTTTTCTAGGTTTTTTTAATTTATTTTTTAGAATTTACGAGTTAAGTTTGAATAAATTAAATAAAAATAATTCAAACGAAGAGGCTTCTTGAAAGTAAAAGAATTTATTATGAGATATAGGGAAAAGTTTACAGAGGGTTAGTTACATGTTTAATTACTATTTACAGGTAAATAGTAATTAAAACATGCAGATATTAAAGGAATAGAAAGTTACATAATTACCTTTAGGAGGACGTTGAAGTCTAAAAAAATCTCATTATGTGACTGAAACTTACCGCTTGGTTAGCGAACCAGCGTGGTTGTGCAAAAACGCTACACGTCTTTATCGTACGGTGGTTAGTGGGCCTCTGCCTCAATATTATTTGTGTCGGTGCTTCGTAGGCCCGCCAGATGGCGTTGATCTGGAATGCTGTTTTAACTAAAATCATCAACCTCTGGAAATGGATTTGATTCAATTTTTTACAAAATAGTTCCGTGAGATATCCTATATAAAAAATATGTGTGTGTGTGTGAGAGAGAGAGAGAGTCGTAAAAAGTTTAGTCGAAGTTATACTTTACTCTTCCTTTTAAGTATTATTTATTCAATTTCCATGCAATAAAACATGAAAAAATATTTTATAAGCAAAGTTTTCATTAATTTGCTTATTTTCTTTTACTTTGGTGTCTGGACTTGATGTAATCTTCAAAAATACGATTTACAACAACATTTATCATTTTTTAGAACCAAATTTTAGAAGAATTCATAAAAACCTGCGGCTTTTTCTTCACGGACATTTTGATTAATGTAGTCTTAATACTCCCCTCTGAGGCAAAGAAATGATTGATTTCTGAGATTCTTTTTTATCCTTTTCGTACTTTCCTTTATCATGCCTTTTTGCGATAAATCGTCACGATTTTTTCTTTTAGAAAAAAAATCAAAATTCTTAAGTTATTCGAAGTCGCCTCGACTGCAGGTAGAAGAATCTTGAGCCTTTTCCAGAACAATATTTTCGAAAGTAAAGGACAAAACCTCTCTTCCAGTTTATTTTAAACAAGAATGATGTCACGTCAGTCTTCTGACCCTCCCTCCCGTCCTTCCATGACCTCCGAGTTTTCAGTACGAAATAAGATGTAATCCTATTTCAGTTAAGAAGTGACTCATTTTTGTATTGTAAAAAATTATTTTTAAGGAAATGTTTTCCTTTTGAATTTATTATAGTTCATTTAAATTTACTATAAATATATTGAGGAGCTTCGTCGATTTTACTATTAGTTCACACTCTCCCAATAAATATCTTGTTCAAATTTCAATAGTTAACTAAAATAATTTTTATTCATCCATTCAAGTTCAAATACATTTTTTTTAAACTTGTAGTGGATGACACTTGAAATATCAGTTAACTTTTTTCAATTATCAGTTCATTAATTAAATTAAAAAATGGATAAATTGTAACAGGCAAAAATAATAGTTCAACAGCATATATAGAAAGGAAAATTGTTCGTTATGTCCTTCAGCGCAATGGATAGCGCATTGGACTTCTAATCCAAAGGTTGTGGCTTGAATTCCACCTGGGATAGCCTAATTTATGAGAACATGGTTTCTTTTTACTATACTGTTTTACTCGAAATATTAAATTTAATTAATGAATAAATAGTACCAAATAAAAAAATAGTCCAACACCATACAGTATAGAAAGGAAACAGGAAAATTGCTTTCTATTTTGTTACTTAATATTATGGTTCTGTCATATGTATATGCATATTTCTATATAAATTATAATTATTTAATAAAAAGTTACTAAAATAAAACTTTTTGTTGACCCTACTTAAAATTTTTTATATTAGTTGTTAATGGATAAGTTGTTTTTTATAATTGTATTGTATCAAATATTAGTAGTTTGAGTGTTTTATTACCAGTGTATTTTAAAGCGACTCGAGAGAGGGCTATTGGTGACAAACCTTATAAAAAAATTTTAAACCAAAGTCAAGTGACGAGGATGACATCTGAGCCGGCACCACAATCTCCTAACGTCCATACCACGTCAAAGTGAGGACTTTGAGCCTTGTGATACATTTAACGAGCAGCAACCCCTCTACACGGTGAGTCTTCAGTGTCACTAGGCTCGAACTCATGCCATGCCGGCCACGAGTCCAAGATCACGAATACCGGTAGTAAAAGTTGAGTTATTTAAATGACAATGTTTTAAAATATTTGGGAATCGCATTCCTAATGTTTTTCTTAAAAATATAAGATTTAAAAAAAATCCATACGGTTTTCATTCATTTAATATTTATTGTTTCACATTAATTATTTTGCTTTATTGTTTCACATTTATGAAAATTAAACAAGCCAATGTAATGAGTACCTTGCAAATAATAGTTAATTCAAAGCCAAAAAACTTGTTCAAACTAAAACAGTCTTTTTTCCTCTTTTATGAAACAATAGGAAACATTGCACAGTTTTTTTTGCAAGCATTAACTTTTTAAAGAAGGCTGAACATCACAATAAACACACACACACAAAATAAATTTTGTTAAACAAGATAGTATTTTCTTAAAAAAATTTTTAAAAAAAGCGGTGGTTTAAATTTTTTGGAAAAAATCTAAAAATAGGACAGTAATAGGACAAAAAGATTTTCGCAAATATTTTTAACAATAATTTTTTAAAGAATGCTGAACATCACAATAAACCCAAAATGAATTTTTGTTGAATAAAATAATGTTTTCTAAAAAAAATGACGATTTAAAATTTTCTGAAACTTTTTAAAAAAGCTGTAAATTGAACAGTAGTATTCAATGAACAACAACGATAGGAGAAAACAATAAGTAAGCAGAAAGAACCAATCTGCAAAGAATAAGTGTACGTGCAGGGAGGCGGGACGGAAGCAATTTCCTGCTATTTTTGTAAGGATTCTTTTAATTCAAAACCTCTTTATTCTTAAGATTTTCTTTTCTTTTCTGTAAAACTGGAAATACTCCGAGCTAGGTAACTGAAAATTTAGGATGCAAAAGAGAAAGAGAAATAAATTATTATAACAGAAAGTAAAGCAAAACAATAAGTAATTCAAACATTTACTATATCTATAGTCAATGCCTTATTATATCGAAAAGCCAAGACTAAAAAATCGAATTTAAATCATCACTTTTTCAATTCCTAAATTAGTTCACTCTCTCTCTCTCTCTCCCTTTTTCTCTCCTTCCTCTCTCTTCCTCTCCCTCTCTCTCTCCTCTTCTCTCTCTCTTCTCTCTCTCTCTCTCCCTATATATATACGAGGGCTGTTCAAAAAGTATCGAGACTGAATTTATTATGCAAAAACATACATACATAAACAGGTTTTGAGTCAATCTCCTTCGAAATATGCTCCATTGCAGTAACACACTTGTCCCAACGATGTTTCCAGTCCTCGAAACATTTCTGGAACTCAGACTTTGGGATGGCCTGAAGCTGCTGTGTCGAATTCTGTTTTATGGTTTCAATGTCCTGAAACCGGTGTCCTTTTAAGGTGTTCTTGATCTTGGGAAAGAGGAAAAAATCAGGAGATGTTGCCAGTCGTTGGAATTGCTTATCCTCAGTGAGGAGACGCGGCACAAACTTTGCAGACACTCGGCGCATAATTTCATCACATGATCCTACGGAAATGTGACACTCCTGTGCAATTTTTCGGACTGTTAAACGGCTATCAGAGTGCACCACAGCCTTCACTTGTGCAATCTTGTCCTCAATGCGAGAGGTGGATGGGCGTCCAGAACGGGGATCACTGTTCACTGATTGACGACCCTCCTTGAATCGTCGGAACCACTCGAAAACCCGAGCACAACTCATCTCCAAATGCTGTTTTCATCATCTCGTAGGTTTTGGTACCCGTTTTACCGAGCTTAAAGCAAAACTTGATACAGATTCGCTGATCAGTGTTTTCACACTTTTTCTTTTTTCGACGAACGCACGCAAACACTCCACGTGAAAGAAGTCAGTGTGACTGAACGGCGCGCTGTACAGACCTGCCGAATTTTGTGAGACAAGGTGAAATATGCACGCGCATGATGCACCGCTAGGGGTTTTCTGGAATAAATAGAATAAATTCAGTATCGATACTTCTGAACAGCCTTCGTATATATATATACATATATAACACATGGGCTGAAAAGTCCCGGCCTAACAAAGAAAACACAGTTTATTTTGTTCAAAATTAGCTTTATTCATCAATGTAATCTCCATCAAGAGCAACGCAATCATTCCAGTGCCGCTCTAACATTTCAATACCACTTTTGTAGAACGATTTATCTTTTGCCTCAAAATAGGCCTCAGTTTCAGCGATAGCCTCTTCATTCGTGCGAAATCTTACCAGCGAGCATTTTTTTCAGGTCTGCGAACAGCCAGTAATCGCATTGCTTCGCTTGAACGGTATTTTTCCCATCAAGAAGCAGTGTAAAATTAAAACACGAAATTGTTTTTGATCCATTGTTCTGAAAATAACAAAGTAGCGTCGCTCTTAGCGCAATAACTCACAAACTAATGAATAGAATACCATGAAACTTTATATAACAGCTGTCTTTTGAAGGTTAGTATTAACTGAAAAAAAGGTGACTGCAATAAAATTAGCGCCATCTATGTGTTAGGCCCGGGACTTTTCAGCCCATGTGTTATATATATATATCTTATTCAAATTTTCAATCGTAATAAAATACTTTCTATTCCTCCGTTCAAGTTCAAATACATTTTTAAAACTTGTAGTGGATGACACTTGATGTTAATACAGTTTTTTCAAATATCAGTTCATTAATTAAATTAAAAAATGAATAAATTGTAACAAACAAAAATAATAGTCCAACAGCTAATATAGAAAGGAAAGTAGTTCGTTAAGTCCCTTCAGTGCAATGGATAGCGTTTTGACTTCTAATCCAAGGTTCGTGGGTTCAAATACTACCTGGAATGACCTAATTTCTGAGAATGTGATTTACGAATGAATAAATAGTAACATAAAAATAACGATCCAACACCATATATATGAAGGAAAATCTCTTTCAATTTTGTCATTTAATATTGTGAAAATTAAATATTAATAAAAAGTAATTAAATAAAATTTTTCTTTATTGACCTAAGAAGGAATTGATTTAAATTTTTGTATATTACTTGTTTTCTCTCTCTTTATGAGACTATATATATATATATATATATATATATATATATATATATATTATAAAAACATCACTTTCACTCTCATTCTCAAATAATTTCTTTTTCACTAAGGAAGGTATTAATTAATTGCGAGATATAAAATAAAGAATGGGTCATTACATGATTTTTTTTATTCAGATCTCTTCAGGCTCTTTTTATAAAGATATAAAATTAAAATATAATAACAATAAAATGGAGCAGTGCACCCCAATATTTTTATCGCAGTGGATCAATTAACGTTTAATATATTAACTGCAGCCTGCTGTGGGAGATACGTTGAGAGTTTATATTTTAGATTGTTTTGGTTTAATAATTTTAATTTAATTGCAATGCCTTACATGTCTTAACATGCCTTCAGAATAAAATACGGTTACTTCAAAAAATGAATAAAAAGTTGTCGCCGGTGTATTCGCGTATTCTATTGAGGAAATTCTAATAATTTAGATATTGTACAAAAGAAAACTTTCCCCGAAGAAGAAGATATGATCTATGTAAATCATGTTGTATATTTAAGCACTAACTTTTAGGTTCGAGAAGGGAGAGAGAGGTTAGAAGTTATAGCTAATAGAAGTTTGTGATTAACGTAAAGTAATTGAAAGTTAGACGAGAACGACTCATCGATTAATTAATTAATATTTAAAATTGATATTTGACAGTTAAGTCAGTAAGATATTGGAATTAGAATCAAATCAACTAAAGGTCGATTATTTGAGATAGGAGTTACGATTATTACCAAACGTAAGTGATTCTACTTATAATTAAAAATTAAATATCTCATCTTCCTCGCTTTGGCTCCAATACTTTATATATGTGCATTTCTTTCCCTTGGTTTGTGAGAATTTTAAAAGGATTAATAAATTATATTTGTTTTGATTATGGCTGGTTTTCATTCTAACTTCCAATCATTAACGGATTTCGGGCAAATCCTATACAAAGTCATTTAACATGGAATATAAAGTGATTTCCATAAAAAAAAAAAGTCGCTCAAACCCCAGAGAAATAATCACAGTAAATAAAATGGAAATAATTTAAAGTTCCTTGTGCGACCCGGTACTATTTGACCCATGAATCGGTACAGGTCCACGGTCCAAGGGTTGGGGATCACTGCAATAGAACACACAATACAATAATTTTCAATGAAAAGTCTGTACAAAGAAGAATTACACAAAAAGAAAAATGAAAAGGTTACAAGTTATACAAACGAGGTTAAAACAAAGTCAAGTCTATGATCTGTTTAATAGGTCTCAAGCTTCCCAGTATTCTTGTAAATGTTTTAAAGTATGTCGTACAAAGTACAGCTTGAATTACGTCCGCTTAGATTTTCTGTTTTATATTTTTGTGTGTGTAATTTTCGTGAAATTTAAGATGCATTTATCACATTGTTAAGTATTGAATTTCAGG